CTTAAAGTAAACAACTCATGATCACTTTTAACACCCAATTGAATGAAAGTTATAACTACTAATGAACTATGATACAATCATAAATGATTATTTTTTTTCAGAGGTACAAATAAGGACTGCTATTAAAAAAAAAATAGAAAAACTAAGGAAAAAAGAGTCATCAACCGATACCGTAAATTTTATAATCAATTTTAGAGATGTTGAATTGAAATACATAATAAAATATAAACTTAATAATGTAAATGTTTCAAATGTAATTTCACAAGAAATTTCTTCATTCCCATTTTTCGTAATTTATTAATAATAAAAAAAAAATCTGGAAACGTTTCATCATGGTTGGTCACCACCAATTATTTGTAAATATTTTTTAAATGTGAGAAAAAAAAAAGATCAAATGTTACACAATATATTTGGACAATATTATTTTTAAAGCATCGAAATATCAATTTTATTGAAATTGAATCATTATTGAATGACTTTTAACAAGTAATGTTTTGCTATACGCATATATTTTGCAGTTGAAGCACGTACTTAATAATATGACAACTCGTACGCGACCCAGTATAATTAAATTTATGCTATTTGGAGATGCGAAATATTATTTTATATTACAAATACTAAAATAGTAATATATAGATTTATTTTCAAATTTTCATTGCAAATAAAACTAAAAAAAATTTTTTGAAGTGTCACTATGTACTGTACTGTACATAAATCTAAAATACTATCTAATTTTGATTGCTCTTGTTTGTAAATCATTTCATTAAAATGCGTTTCACTTTTCTGCTTTTTATTTCTTGACATTTAATTTTCCCTTTTTTAGATTAAATTTGACTTTCTATTTTAAAAAAAGAAAATAATAATAATAAAATATTCCAATAATGTAACGCGACAAAATTGAATGAAATGATTATATCAATCAGTGTTATGCTAATAAAAAAAAAAAAATTTAAAAAATATTGCTTAATTTAGTTGTATTAACACAAGTAAAGGGTGGCAACCATCTCCGATATCTAATACTTCAAGTGATTCAAGCTGAAAAGGAATCTAAAAGAAAAATGAATTATCGCTCGAGTCCAAAGCGATCGAACTCGAAAGATAAGGAAAATTCTCCTTACCTACATCTGAAATGCCTAACTTTACCAACCCAAAATAAATTCGCTAAGACTATATAACCGTCCCAAAATAAAGTATAAATAACCTCCATCATTTTGTAATCACATGATTGGCAATATAAATGAAATTCATATCACAAAATTTTATGTATATAAATAAATTAGATGCCAAGGTTAAAGTTGATAAATACACCATTTTTTCTTAAGTAAATTAATTACAACGCAAGAATATAATAAGATGTTTATTAATAATTTATAAAGTTAGAAAATTTGTGATAAATTTAAAACTTTCATAGGTGTCTATATAGAAGCTGTTCAAAATTCACAACATATTTAATATACATAAATTTTATTAGGCATTATTAAAAACTAAAACATAGCAGAATTTTGGTCGTATTTTTCTAAAGATTTATTATAATTTATTTGACTATTAAAATATCAAATTCAGCAGCTTAAATTTCAATTTGCCGAAAATAAAAATAAAAATAAAAATAAAAATAAAACAATGAAGAATTCCTTATTTGTTTACCTCAAATAAATATTTAATATTTAAATACAGAAATCCGCTTTTTTTTTTTAAAAAAAAAAACAAAAGAAATGCTTTTATTGTTGATTATTTAATTATCGAAGAATATAAGCCATGCATCAAAAAATGTATAAAGGTTTGCTTTATCTAGTCAAACCCCAAGAAATTAAAAGCTGTCTTGTTCTCGAAAAATGATGTTTTTAACCTATATTAAATAGATCCGTTATTCGATTTCTATGATTTCTACGGTAAATTGATCTCTGCTAGATTCATAGACTAAGTGTTGAAGTTTAAATATTGATAAAAGAAATTTGCTAATATCTTTTCGCCCACAAATTTATATTTTTGCGTGATAATAATAATGCTAGTCCATAGTTCACATGCGTGAACGGTAGCAATAATGCTTGATCACAATTTTATTTTATTTACGAGCTTGCCGGCTCATTATGGAATAAAGTATTAATTACTGTTTCGTATTCTAATTAAATTAAGAGTAGTTATAAAATGTGAACTAATAGAATAATTTTATAAAATTTGTGTACTTGTAATTGTTTTAATTAGGAAACTTCATATTTTATTTCATGATGCTGATATTTTAATGCGCTGCACATTTTCAAGTTAAGCTAGATTATTATTACTGTGCATTATACTAATTTATACAAATATATAATAAGGTTTTATTAAATTAACCATAAAATTTATGATCTCTAAAATTTCACTTAATGTACAATATGACCTTAATTTTCGTACAATAAACTACTAATAAACTATTTTTTAATAACAATAGAAATGTTTCTTTTAATGTATCATTATATGGGAGGTTTGCTATTAAAATCGAGTTTACAAACATAGTAAATCATATGATCCGTAACGTGATTTTAATAGCTTACCTCCCATATTAAGATTTTTAAAAAACTAATTATTAAAAAGGAATCATAAAAGTTATGTATATTGATGACCATTCAAATATGAAGTTTTGTGTCAGCAGTTAAGACGACGAATAATAAAGAATCTATCATATCATTACTTCGGATAAATATTGTTCTTTATCATCTTGATCATTGTGTTCAATGCTTGTGACAGGAGCAGTAGGAATATTAGTAGGTGATTGTTCTTTCTTTTTTGCATTCCATCTATAAATTAAAAATCCACAAACAATAATTATAACGAAGCATAAAATTGCTCCAAACGACCCGATTACGATCTTCATTGTAACTAATTCCTTATTAAGATTGTTAATTAAGGAAGATGGTTGTATTGCTGAAGAATTAGTTTTTGTTCCCATGATTGTCGGATCGAATGAATCAACCCATGTATAATTTCTAATATCCATTATGTAAATATTAGGATTCCTTAATGATAATGGACTAGAATTTGGTTGTGTAATATTTCCTATCATATTAATTTGGAATATAATAAATTAAAAGGTTAAATTATTTCAATAAGACGATTGCAAATAATTTTTGCTTACCAAATGCTACAATCATATAATTTACAACCAAATCAGCTGTATGTATCGTAATTGATGGAACTTGACCAATTTTAGATGTAACTGGTGGTATGGTGAATTCAAATTGTTCGGTATTTGTATTTAAAACGAATAAATCTGGAATAACTCTCCAATCGCTAACACCTCCAGAACCTCCATAAATTATGATTTCATCATTTGAAGCTATTTTAATTAAAAAAATAAATAAATTAATAATGTTTTAAAATTTTATCAATAACTATAAGTTTAATCTCATACTTAATACAGCCGTATGTCCCCTACGATTTTCAATCATATTTGAAGGTTTCGCTATCTATACATAAATAAATATAGTAAATTTTTATCACTCAAAATATTTTAATGCAAGCATCGCGATCAGCGATTGCTGTATTACATCTAATAACTTCCATATTGTTGGTATGATCATAAAAAATATTACTAATACCTACCTTCACTGACCAATTTAAGGATTTTGTATCGTAAAGATAAATTTGATTAATATCAACTAATCGTGTTTTATTAACTTCAATCATTTCCACACCACCAATATATGCAATAATTCCATTTGTTAAAAGAGTTGCAGTATAACCAGATCGTGCGCTTGGTGAATTAACTGGAGGATTATTTAACCATGATGATTCAACAGTATTCAAAATGACCATGTCATTAAGAAGCGTTAGACGTTAACTAGTAGAGATTTATTTTTATATATCCCGATTTATTTAATTTTAAAATCCGAATATCAGTTAATAGATCAAAAGCGATCGAATCTGAAAAAAAAAAAATTATTTTTTTTTTTTAATTTTTTTAATATAAATAAAAAATAAGGAAACAAATACCTATAACTTAACTGACGCAACCCAACTTCGAAAGAGAAGGAAAAATCTAATAATAAATTATAAAATAAAATAAAATAAAAAAATTCCAAAAATCAAACTATAAATAAAAAAAAAAAAAAAAAAAAAAAAAAAAAATATCGAAAAAAATGTCGGTTGATCGCTGCGGCTCCTATCAATGTTAAAAAAAATTTTTAAGTTTCCTACGGATTCGGTATATAAGAATCGAAGCCGAATTAAGTTTCAGAAAGTACATTTTTGAAGCGCCATTATCATACGTACGTTTTATTCTGACGTTTATTTTTCATAAAAAATTTCAGTTTGATAAATTAAAAAATCGTATTAAAATTAGGAACGGTATATATACGCCGCGTTTTCTCCGTCATTTATATAATTAAACAAGAATAAATAGATATTTTCGAACTTTTGAATTAATAATACGTTTATTAAAAATATTTTACATTATGTACATATTTTACAAGATAAAAAGAATTAAATAATGAGTAATCGTAAAATAATTTCTTCATCCCATTTATATTATAATTTCCTACCTTATATTTTCATCTTATATAACCTTTCATCAAAAATGAATTAATCACTCAAAATCCGGAATACGTAAGACCAAATCTGGATATTTGTTTTTTTGAACTTTATCGATGTAGTTCCTCACTTTGGTGTGAATGCAAAAATAATCAACAATCTCATATACAAAATCGTCTATAACTTGCTCCTCTGCAAACTCTTTCAAGACGTCAAAAGCGACATCGACATCTTCGTAATGACAATTCCTAATTAATAACTTTTTCAGATCGATATGTTGCACGTGATCAAGAAATTTTCTCATGTAGATCGGATCGATTGAAAGGAACAAGTTCAAATAATTTAATGAACTCGAGTGTTTTGATAACACGGGACCCAACTCACCCAGAAGTTTTGAACTGATCAATATGCAAGGTATATTTAATGCAAATAAAATTTTAAGGGAAAGGTATTCGAGATGAGCGCCGATGCTAGTGATCAACTCACATATTTGAGAGATATCAAGAGAATCAATACTAGATATTTGAAGGAATTTGACCTTTGTACAGTACTTGATAACACTATCAAAAGCATTTCTTTCATGATGGGAAAATGATAATTTGATGACCAAATTCTCCACATGAGGACCAATCTTTTGTAATAAGGATGAATATTCCGTGAGTTTTCCAACTAATCTCAAGGATCTAACTTTTAATGAAGTGGGGTTATCAATTAACGGTTGAAACATTTGATTCTTTAATCCATCACTATGTTGGAATAAGAGGTGATGTAAGTTGGTGAAAGAGTTTAGCGCATCAAATGATGTCACCTGTTTAAATTCACAGTTCATAAACTTGATTGAATTTAAACTTCTAAAACATTGCTTAATGGCATCTAATATTTGATCGTCCATCTGTATTTCTTTAAGGGTTAAAGATGAAAGTTGTTTTTGTGGTGTGATAACAGCCGGTAGATTCCCGTTAAAATCAGAAAATTCAACCTGTTTAATATAAGGTGCTAATGTTGATAAAGTCAGCACGAATTCTTGAATGTTCGAACGATCAGTTTCACTTAAGGCAATGTTAAGCCTCTTAATATTTGATATGAATTTTGTACTATGGAAAATGATTTCAAACAATTCGGGTAAAAATTTGTCATAAGAAACGCTGCTTTTCATACTTAATCTACTTAAGGTAGCATCACTTTCTACGAATAATTTAATAAACGTCAGGCAGACAAATCCTTTGATTTTGTTACTATATTCGGTGCATGAGTTGTAGGAATCACGAGGTTGTGTACGGTGACGAATCCAATTATTCAGGTGCAATTCTAAATGAGATAATACCAATGTTTTGATGAAAGTGGGATACTTAAATAAAGGTGTCGGTTCATTTGACTTGATAACAATTCCAAAATCTCTAAAATTTTCTTTATCGTCATCACCAAGAAAATATGAAAATAGATCCATAAAACCATAAGGTCCTCCCCACGATTTGAACCTGACGGCAAAAGGATCTTCCCAAATCATTGGGATCGTAATTCGACATAAATGTCGATTAATTAGTGCGCATGAATATAATGATTTTGGTTCATCTCGTAAATATTGTACTATATAATAAGTTAACTCGGGTAAATCTCCGTTAAATAATTTATAACAAGCCATGGTTTTTTGAAAGAAAAGGACAAAAGTAAGGGAAAACCATGAGAATTTCTTAATTATTATATGCTTTTTTGTTTCACCATGTTGATCACTTGGCGTAAATTGGCGTCAATGTTTGGATAACAAAATTAAAATTTTAATTTTTAATATACAAAAAATTATTATATATCCGGAGACAATTCCGAAAGCGATTTCCATTACGAAAATAACTTTTTGAAACGAATTCCACACCGGAAGATTTTTTTTTTATATTAAAGAATAAAATTTAAAAAAAAATCATTTATGTTTTTCATTTATTTAACTTTGGTATCATTCACTTTCTTTCAACTTTCCTCGTAACTTTACATAGGTTATCAATGTGATAACAATCTAATGAATATATATAATAGTTGCTAACCCGTTGACAAAGCAACATAAGGCGGATGAGGTTACACAACAATTACTCGCAGTTAAAATTTGTTTACATATTTGCGACATTAAAATATCTTATTACATTTATACTTTTTAGATGGATACTTTTGAGAGTATTTTATTATCGAGCACGGAGCGTTCTAAATAGCTAACATTAAAAATGTCACGCCCGTTTGAAACATAACAATTCGGTTTTAAATTCGGGTCTAACCGGTTTTGAGTAAATCCGGTTCCAAATTTTAGAGCTTGAAGATCCGGTTTTCGATTTACCAAAAATAATTTGTTATAAAAAAATCCATATTTAGTTTCTCGAATGAGATTTCCCATATATTCACTCTTTCTTTTTTGCACTCTTTTTGTGCATGTTTTATTTTTCATTATGACGAACCTATCTACTTCTTCAGAAACAGAAACAATTACAGATCTTACAACTACCGATACCACAAGCACAGGATTTCGTTCATCCTTAATTAGAACTAGTCAGTTACACAGCATTTTTCTTTCGGATCGAAAAAGAATTACTAACATTGCTTATTGCAAAATTTGTGGAACCAATTTTGCAGGAACAATAAATTTGTATTTGAAACAAAGTAAAATTGGATCAAGTGAAAATGGTGGGGAATTTTGACGAAAGTATTTATCAATTCCTGCAACATCAGTTTCTAATGAACGATTATTCCCAGACGCAGTTATTAAATATCTGCTAAACGAACTCGACTCTCTCCAAACTTGGTGAATAAGATGCTATTCTTGAAAAGAAATGGTGTTCATTTTGATATATTTCCTCCGTTAGATAATAGGAAATGATATTTTTACTTTAAATAATAAATTTAATAAATATTTCGATTATACATATATCTAAAATTGTAAATTGAAAATTGAATCGGTTCTTTAAACCGGTTTCGATTCGGGCCGAACACTCGGTCAACGATCGCACCGATTTAAATCGGGTCAAATTTTTTGAAATTATTTAAAACCGGTTCCGGCCTCTATAAACATGTTAATTATTCTCTGTGAATTAATTTCAAAAAAAAACAGTGCTATCTATACGTTGGGATTGGTAAAATCTGCTGTGGCAGATCGCCCTTAAATAGAAATCTGATTTTCCGCGTTTATCTAATTTCGTCCGATAAAAAAGTTTGAAATTCTTATTACTCGTAAGAAATAATAAGAATGTCTGAATTTCCAAAAATAATAGATTAAAACTATTTTTAATTAATTATTTTTTATTCTTTTGTTATTAAATTAAATTATTTCGCGTTGTCATTCCTTTTTTATTAAAAAAATTTCTTTTTTAATTTTAAAGTTTTTTTAATTTTTTTTTAATGAGATTAGATCTTACGTCGTTATGCATTCTACAATCTTTTATATTGTTACATTGAATATAACTTCGCCCGGAAACTCTACTCCATAATTTTGAATGTAAATTATTTTCGATATTTACAGTTAGCCCTCTGAAGATCATTTTGGACAGGCTGTCACGGTGCCAGGTTGTCATAGCAGGATGCCAGGCTGTCCTAATGATTATTATTATTTTTTTTATAAATACAAGCCGGAAATCCTTAAACAACTCAACATTTCACGCTCGCCCTTCTTATATTTGCATGTATACACCTTAAAAACCTTCCTTTAATCCCTTCGCAATTTTTCGCTTTCGCCGTTTTTAACATTTTAATTTTATATTTGTAACTTTCGTTTATTTTTTTAATTTCCAATTACACCAATTTTCGTAATAGCGCAGTTTAATTAAATAGAATTTATTGAATGGCATTTTTTAGTTTAATATATCTGATATTGACATTGCAAAGTGTAGAACGCCGACGTTGAGGCAATAATGATTAATTTGATATTATTAAATAAATTTGGCGTCGACATTACATCATTATTACTCAATAAAAACAACAATATAAAGGTTAATTTCTTAAGTTTTCTACGTTTTATACGACTTCCTTTTTTACCATCTTGATGAAATTTTTTTTTTTTA